ATTTGATGTTGTATCGGGTACATACCATGTCTCACACTGGTAGGTTATGCATGTACACGTATCTAGCACACAAATCTTTGGTGACCTCTAACCCCCCCCCCTCCACTCTCTTTTCCTGTGAAGGAAGTAAGGTGTTCCCTATTCCTCCTAAAATGACTGCCTTCTGTGGGGAAGTCTTCCTTGGAAGCATTAATACTCTTGATCTTTTAAAAAGAAAAGGCCTAATTGGTGTTTCTCCAAGCTAGTGTATCTTATGCAAATTGAATGGTGAGACTGCATACCACTTACTAACCTCTAGTCCTTTTGCTTGTTTTATTTGGGATTGGTTTCTTGTTTGTTTTGGGTGTAGATTAATCCCCCTTGTTAGCTTGGACAGGTCTACTTTTAAATGTCAAATGAAGAGGGGCAGAATTATGTGGAGGTGCACAAGAGCAGTGTTGTGGACACTTTGGGAGGAGAGAAACTTTAGAACATTTGAAGGAAAAGAAAGAAGCAACTAAGCAAGAAGGCTGTTATCGAAAGTATCACAAATTTACAATGAAGGTAGAACACTGGCTAAAGATTTTGGACCTATTTTCAGATTTCACAATAGATAACTTCTTCAGGAATTGGGGCGCAATTACAAGTTCTTCATTAAGGAACCAAAGGAAAATAAAGATTGGTCACCACCGCCTAGAGGTTGGCTGAAAATTGAACTTTGATGGGACTAGTAATGGGAAACCCAGGTCTGTCTGAAGTTGAAGTAGAGATGACAATGGAAATATAGTTGCATTATTTTCAGGGACAATTGGGCAAGGATACTCTACTCAGGCAGAGCTTATGACTGCAGTGATTGGATTGCAAAAAACAAAGGAAGTGGGGGCTGATAAGCTAGTTGTTGAAGGTGACTCCAAAGTAATTATAAGTTAATTTGTTGGATGGTGGTAAAGCTAATTGGGGTTACAGAAATGAAATCAACAAATGGCTTGGCTACTGGTTTAGTGAAGAAAGGGGTTACTAAATACCAGTTGCATGGGTCTCAGTTGTAAAAAATCTAATTTGGGGTGGGATAGCAGGGGCTAAGCTCACAGTCTACATTTGTAACAAAAAGCTGCAACCTCTTGTTGTACTACTATATCTTTATATCAATAAAATTCTGTTTTCTGTTGCTGATAAAAAATGTACACGCATCCAGCTATCATAAGTTATAACACCCTTCCATTAACAAGAAAGGAGGGAGGGTGGACTGCCTAGCAAAGNCCCAAACAAGAAAGAGCCACAAAATAGAATCCTTTCTGATGGATACCCCAAACCTCCAATGCAAATCACTCCTCAAAAACCCCCTTTAGCAAGCTCACCAGCAATCAACTCTAGGGGTGCTCACAGTTCGGTTAACTGAACCATAAGCCTATTTTCCAAACAGAACTAGTACTACAGGTTTTTGGGAAACCATGAACAAAGACTGATACAAAGCCAATCAGTTCGGTTTTCAACCAGTTCAGTTCTTTGGTTTTTCGTCTTTTTAATATTCATAATATATATTATAAATAAATATATAAATATATAATAAAAGTACTAAAAATATAATATATTATATACCAGTCAGTTTGGTTAACCAGAATATTTGGTTCAGTTTAATCAGTTCGGTTTGGTTTTCGGATTTTGATGAGCACCCCTAATCAACTCCATGTAAAGTTATGAACAGTGTCTTCAATCAAGATGACAAAAATCTAACATCACTAATTTTGTAGTCCAAATTTCACAGATATGCTAGCAATCTATCCTCCATCCAATAACAATCTCAGAGCAACCATTTTTAAATGTGATCAAAGAGTTTTTTTTTTTTTTCAGATATGTGTGCTCCCCATTTTGTTGGTGGGGTTAAAAGGTCAGGATTAACCTTTGCCAAAGAACAACTGGATGAGATGGTGTTGCATGGACACAAACAGAGGCACAAGAATCAGACTCTAACATGTATCCAAGAGTCTGACTCAGCAAGATGAAGAAACATGGACTTGGGAACATGTTTAAAAAAGAAGGGTTACATCAGGTTGGCAACCAGCACCAAAACTTTTTCCAAACTCTCGTGACCATCTTATACCCATAGGAAGTTTATGTTGGTTGCTTATTAATGTTCTGTAGGAAAAATCTCAGTCTTGATGTACATTAGCTATCCATTTATGCCACAATGTACAGTACAACACAGACACTTCATCCATTTAGGAGAGTCCAGGCAACAACACAGACACTTGATCCATACCGGTTCTGCTCTCTATAGAGCTTCCTAAATATTAATCACTTTATCACTCCTCAACCAATATAGGTTAAATCAGTATGCCCTTGAAGAGACCACAAAGAGACCAATCCCAAAGTTCAATCCTCCCATTGCTTCCCAAATTCCAAAGCATTTTGGCTTGGCAGCCCTTTTGGCTTCCACCATTTATTGATGGTCATTCCTCCAAATCATTGTTCTTTTTTTGATTGGTTAATCCTCCAAATCTTTGTCTTTTACATACACTAGCTTAAACACATCACAATCATAAAAGAATTATACCTACTAGCCAGCCTCTGCAGAGCCCAACCTTTGGGTGGTCATTCAGTTCTCTCAAAGTAAGCTTATTTTTAACAACACCCATACAGATATATACCTCACCTACTTTCTCAGTGCCAATGCACTTGGCCTTTGAGTTTCTGGCTACTCAAGATTATCTCACTTTTTCATTGCTCCTCTGAGGCCCTCACCATGCCTTCTGTTAAAGTGAAGTTTGATGCATCACCAGTGAACATCTTGGCTGGCACCATGTAAACACCTCCTCAGAATACATGGGGCCTTTCCTGGAAGGTTTTGCCTATTTATCTGAAACTTACTTCCTTCAAGAGAAAGTCATACTTTTTCTTTGAATCAATTAAGTTTAAAAAAGCTCCCTACACATTGCTCCCTTTTAGGAGCTTTTTAATGATTCAATGGAACTTCTGTCACCATAGATCCAGAGAAGTTCATAGTGAATAGCATTGCCAATTTCTGAACTGATAATGTACGGACAGAACAATGGTAAATGGTCCAGACCCCTTTCTGTAACTACTTCATTCTTTGGGGATTTTGGGAAAATCAATCATCATTTGGTTTGTTATTCAATAAATGATTTATCTAATTTCTATTTTCCATCTCCATATTCTAAGGAATAGGAGTAGTACCTTGTAATGAGAAAGTGGGCTGCCTATGAGTTTCACCTGCAAAAAAAACTCAATAACTGTAGCCATACTGCAATGCTCAACCGTAGGGGTAAATGTAATCCTGAATAAATCACATTTAATTATTCAATAGCATTTCCTTGGAGATTGGAGATTTGACTTGTAAGATATAAGCATGAAAATTATTAACCTAAAAGCAGAAGAATCTATGAAATTATCTGACATGGCTATTTCTGACATGCCTATTCAATTGCATCTTCTGTAAATAATTTGAGTTCGTCAAAGAATAAGGATCCTCTGGATCTTTTATATCTCTAAAATGATTTAATATTGTAAAGAAAATAAATAATTCCATAAGATACAACAACAAAGATTGTCTGTATGAGAGAGAGAGAGACCATGATATACAGTTTTATCCTATTTAATCATAAGAAAGCCTATAATTTTAACAAAAAAGTAAATGATTACTGAGGCTAGTGCAATTAAAAATAATAAAATAGTACACGACACATCATGAAGATGGAAAATTATAACAAATTAACTGTTATGAGAAATTATTAAAATCCTTGATCCATTTATGACATATGCCTACTTGTGCTCATATGCTGAAGAAAGCAATTGAGTTTTCCCTTTTCTGATTGGCACCAGGAAAAAAAAAAGTATAGAGCTGTACAAAGTAGGGGGGAAGCACCCCAGACAAGCCACTCTAGAGTTTACACCCTCCACACTAAAAATAGTCTGTAATTATATGCAAATCTCCTCTTAAACAAGCATAGGTCCTTCAGCACTAACATACAATCTGCTAAATAAGGTCCTCTTCTACATGACAATGCTCAAACAGTCTGGACGCCCTCAAAAATCTTTCTATTCCCCACCCTCCAGATGCAACAACAGATAGCAAAGAGGATATTATACAAAGAACAGGCACCAGTAAAACCCAAAAAGCCTCGAATTGGTGACTGAAAAGGTGCCCCACATCAAAATTAGTATGTGAAAAACACCATCTTTCAGGTTTTGTCAAATTACAAGATCAGGTGGTCAACAGATTATTGTGATTCCTAGGACATTGAACATTGTTAGTGTTAGGCATATGAAGGTCCCTAGGATTAAGGTAATCCACTGTGAGCACCTTACCAAGAAAAAGACAAAGAAAAAAAAACACCTGCTGATTCCAAATGCAGTCAAAACCTGTTGTCTTATTTCTATCTGGAGAAATTTTACTTTGCTAATTGTTTTCTGAGATATGAATATTTATTTTATAGTAAAAATAGAAGGTTTTTTATGGGCAATGATGAATAATCTACAAGTGCTAAAGCACTATATCAGGGACCCTCACCCCCCCCCCCCGAAAAAAAAAAAAAAGAAAAAGAAAGACTGATCCTTAATTTGCATCATTAGCTTAAGATTCCTGTTGTGGTGCCCTAGAATAACTGCTCCCTACTAACTCCTTGTCATGCCAATGCATCTGTCAAACCATTTGCTGTCCTGCTGACCTACATAAATGTGGATCTCAACCCTTGCAGTTCCGTTCACTTCTCTTATGGTATGCCTGCAGCACGTGCACCTGCTCTTTGATTTAGAGTCCTCCCAATTTTCAATAATTGCAACAAAGCTAATAATTCTGCCTTAACAGAGTTTACATATCCGATGGGGCCTGAAATAATGCCAAAATTGTACCTTCCTCATTCATTAAAGCACCTCCTATCCCTGCTGATCCAGGATTACCTAAAACGCATCCATCAAAATTCCATTTAACCATGCTTGGTGGCAGATAGATATCATATATACAGAATTCAACTTCCACAAGAAAGTGGTTAATGACAGAAGCTTCAACTTTTTTCCAATATCTCCCCTATATATTCCCAAGCATGATGCAAATTCCCTTTGCAAAGTTGACTAACCAGAGAGTATAAAACAGTTTCATCAAGAATGTAACCCATTCCAAACAAATAATCTAAAACCAGTAAAGCATCGTCCAACCTACTACTTGAAGAGAGATATTGAACCAATCTCTGAAAGGTCTCTCTCTGTGGTCTCTGCTTACTCCTTAACATATTGATCAACCACTCCATGCTCTCCTTTGCATTTCCGGCTTTACACAATCCAGTAATTATATGATCACAAGTACATACCAGTGGCTCCAAACCCCTATTCCGCATGTCATTCCACAACTCTATTGCTTCTTGTGCATTTCCCATGTCACAAAGTGCTTGGATAAGAGGAGTGTAAGATGAGATGGTCGGATGCATTCCCATCCCCAGGATTTCATAGAAAAGGTCCATAGCCTCCAGTGCCTTCTTTTCTTTGCAAAGGCCCTGAATCAGAGTATTGTATGTCACCACATCACGTTCAATTCCCTTCTTGGGCATTTCTTCAAAGAGTTTATGCGCTTCATCCATTTTCCCATGTAAACAAAACCCAGCAATCATGGTGTTATAACTCACCGTGCTTTCTCCATACCCTCTTTCACACATCTCTCTACGCAACTTCTGAGCCATTTCTAAGTCACCCATCTTACAATAACCATCAATAAGTACATTATAAGTATATGGATTTGGAATGAACCCCTTCCTAATCATCTCGAACCATAGCTTCCTCCCTTCACCAATCAAACCCATTTTACAGAGACCATCGATCATCGTCGTGTACATAACCCTGTCGGGAGAATACCCTCTCTCCTTTAGGTCACAAAAAATCCGAAAAGCTTCTTGCCCCATTCCGTTCTTGCAGAGCCCATTTATGATTTCCTGATAAACGAATATGTCAGGAGTCCGTTTCTTCGCGATCATCAAATGGAGAAGCTCCGAGACTTTTCCATAATTCCCATCCTTGCATAACCCAGATATCAATTTGGTAAAAGCAACATTATCAGGGACATGCCCGGCTTCTAAGACTTGCCGAAGAAGCTCATAAGCTTCCGAAAGCTTTTTGTCCTTGCAGAAGGCTTGAATGAGATATCCAACCGTATCCACATTGCCCACAAGGCTGGATTCCATCATCTCCCCATATAGTTCCCAAACAAGATCGGTCCTCCCAATCCGAAGAGAACCCAACAAAGCTACGTTCCAGACAGCGAGGGGCGGCGTGTGACCAAGGCTTTTGAGCCGGGAAAACACATCGAGGGCTTCATGAATGGATCCCTCCTCGCAGACGCATTTGATGAAGGACTCTAAAGAAGACGATGGGGGGCAGAATCCGGGTGGAGAACGGAGGAGAAGGGATTTTGCAGCGTTGGGGGCGTTGGCGGCCACTAAGATATCAAAGAGAGTGTTGCAAGTTTGAGAGTCGGGGGAGAAGTCAGGATGGGAGCAGAGCCAGTTGAAGAAACGAATAGAGAAGAAGGCATTGTTTTGACGCTTGAGAATTTCCAGAATACAGTTGGAGTGGTGGAAGATATCGCGACCCAGAGAAGGGAAATCGGAAAGGAGGGTTCTTTCCCATCTGGGCTGGGTTCGTATGGTCTTACATACCTCTCCAGCGATTACTTCTGTGAAATCGATCTGCTGCTGTTGTTGATGATGATGATTACATTCTTCTTGTTTGATTTGATCCCCCTTATCTCGATCTCCCCCTCCAACGACTAGATTAAGATTTCGAGTGGCTTTTTCGAGGAAAGGACGTGGACTTTGAAGCCTGCGAGCGTTCTGGCGAAGGAAGCTGATGACTGACGACGGAGATCTCTCCATTTCAGTTCTTTTTTCTTCCTCAAAATTTCAAAGTACAAGAACTTACAAGAGTTTTGAGGCCTACTGCGACAGTTCAAAAAAGGCCCGGCCTTCGCGTTTTCAGGTTCGGCGACTCCGTCTGTCCGAAACAGCCCTCGCTCTCGCTCTCATTTTTCGAGGCCGTTTGAGAGGGCATCAGCCATCAGCGGTTTCTGGCTTTGCAAGTAGACCTGGCAATCGGGTTGGGTGGGTCGGTTTCGGGTTGGGTCAAGTTATTTCGGGTTGGGTTGTCAAATGTTACGGGCCAAAAAATAATTGAAATTTAAAAAATAAAGAAAAATTACATGAAAAATATCAAAATTAAAAGAATTAATCTTAAAATTCCAAATATAAAATAAAAACTTGAATATTTAACAATTTAAAGAGTAAATAATAAAAAGTAAAGAATAAATAGAAAAAATTAAAGAGTGGAAATTTCTAACAATGCATAAATAATCTCAATTAGACTTGAGAATCGGGTCAGTGGGTTGACCCATGACCCAATCCAGGTTTTTTCGGGTTGGGTCTAGTTGGGTCATTTTCACATTCGGGTTGCTAAATATGAGACCCTAACCCTATTTTTTTGGGTTGGGTTGGGTCGGGTTCGCAGGTTGGGTCAACTTTTTGCTAGGTCTATTTGCAAGGTCAAGTGGTCAATGGCACCAAGTATCAAATTATTGGTATCGGGTATGTATCAGATACTTCGAATACGAATATGAATACAAATATATTTTAAAAATGCATGGATTTAAACAAAAAATATAGAAACGCTTGAATACATTAGTAAAATATATACAAATCTTATAAATACATTAATCATACTAAACTAAAAGTTGAATTATCTATGAATAAGATATAAACACATGAGAAACRCATATTTCAATAGGTTATATGAAGAGAAATATTACAATAAACAATGTCTGAGACTCTAGAACATTCAAACATTGTACAATAATTATCACTCTTTCAATTTTATAATTATAATTTTCAATTTTATTAATTTTTTGAAATAATTTATTAATTTAGTATTTTAATTAAATAACAACTGTTTTTTAAATAATAAATATGTTTTCATTTTTAACATATAATGTATTTATTTTACACATAATTGTAAAATAAAACAAATAAATCATTTAAGGTAGATAAAATAAATTATATTTAATTTTCAGTTTTTTATTAATTTTTTTTAGGAAAATTAAATCTAAAATTATTCGTTTCAGTTTTTATAATTATAATATTCTGTCTTCCATTAATTTTGCTGGAAAATTCTATTTATTTGGTATTTTTATGTAATAACTCCATTTTTTCCAATAATAACTATGCTTTCATTTTTAACATATAATTATGTGTAAAATAAAATATATAAATCATCTAAGGTAGATGAAATATATTATTTTTATAATTTTTAGTTTTATTATTTTTTTGGAAAAATAAATCTTAAATTATTTATTTTAGTTTTCATAATACTATTTTTTAACTTGTATTAAAGATGAAAAAAAATCCAAAAGTATTGAATGTACAATTTTGTCAAACTAGACATGGATACACCTCCATATTGGTGTGTATCAAATCATATCCATCGATACGGTGCGATACGGCCCGATACGGAGATGTATCATACCGATACGCATGACTCATTGGATACGTATCCAGTCGTAGTGCATCCTATGTCCATGATCATGGATACGGTTGATACCTTAATCCTTGATCTTAAATTATTTATTTTAGTTTTCATAATATTATTTTTTTAACTTGTATTAAAGATGAAAAAAATCCAAAAGTACTCAATGTACAATTTTGTCAAATTAGACATGGATACACTTCCATATCAGTATGTATCAGACCATATCAATACATTAATCCTTGACTGTCACACACTTGAAAAGAGTTTTAAACCTCTTCAAAATACTTCAAAGCAGCCTAGTCACTGGCTCAATGCAGCTCAATAAGCCCTCCCAAACGATCTCCTAACTTTTAAGACGTGTCAATCCAGTATCTATCTTTCTTAACTAGTCATTTAAGTAGCATTTGAAAAAGACACAAATGCCCTTCCAATTTTATCTATTTTTCTTTACAAACCATCCAAATGTTGACAAAAAAAATAACAATCCCAAATCCTTGCCTCTTCTAATCAAGAAAGTTAGAGTCATCAGAATGCCCACTGAGACATGACCCCAACTTTCTTGAATAGAAGAAGAAGGATTTGAGACTGTTAATTTTTTTTCTCAATGTTTAGATGGTTTATAAAGAAAATTAAATGACACTCAAAGGGCATTTATATCTTTTTCAAATGTCACTTAACAACTTGTTAACGATAGGTATTGGATTAACAAGCTTTGAAAGTTCGGGTACTAAAGCATCGCATTTTAAAGTTTGGGGACCAAAATGACACTAGACCCAAAGTATAGGATATTTATCAAAACCCATGTAACAAATGGATTTATTGCATTTCAACCTAAAGGCTTGGCTTCAAATCYCTTGACTTATAATTTATGTCAATGTTTCAAATTTGCATTTGAATTGGAATGTTTCAACTCAAATCGCTTTGTTGAAAAAAAAGCATAATTAATAATCGGATGGCATTATTAATTATCGGATGGCATTATTGGTTGAACTGTTGACCTATTTTACCATGTCAATGGGTCATGGATAAGGCATTGATTTTTTAGTCATTGCCATCATTGTAACAATAACTCTCATTTTTTATGCATTTTTGTTTAGTATGATGAATATTTAATATGAAAGACATGCTCAAATTTATATAAATTTTGTAATATTTTTTATAGTTTATTATGCACCACTAGTTAACCTATTTTGTTGAGAGGGAAATACTATTCCAGTTGATTTTTAGAACATTTTTTTATCCAATAGTCAAATAAACTACTTAGAATGGTTAACCTATCTCGTAACTAGGATTTTAGGTCCATTTACCATGAAGTTGCTTATTGTAAAGTACCATTGACTTAGGTGGCGTTTGATAAATCTGAAAATTCAGATCTGAAAAGTTAAAAAGATATTAAATGTGTATGAAATCTGAAAAGAGGTATAGTTGCTTTTTTACTTTTTATAAGATCTAAATCCTTGAGTTTGTTTGTGTTGGATCAACCTTTTACCATCTGAAATTTATTGATTTTACTATTTTACCCCTAAAATATACAATTTGAAAATGTTGAATTCAATTTACATTATCTCATAAAAAATAATTTTCAACCTCAAAATAATATTGAAACAATAAAAATAATAAATAACAAATTAATAAATAAAACAATTAAAATTAAAAAATAAATAATGCTTATAAAAATATTAAAATAATTAATAGTTTATACAAATAAAAATTAAAATAATTTTTAAAAATTAATGAAATAATAAAAAATTATTAGTTAATAAAAATAATTAAGAAATAAGAAATAACACAAGTAAATTTAATAAAAAATAATTAATGTTTAATAAAAATATTAAGATAATTAATAAAATATTTTATAATTAATAAATAATAAAACCATTATTATTATTCATCGAAGTACCAAACCACCATTGTTGCTTGTTGCAACGAAGGTAGCGGTGGTGGGAAGAGAGCCGCCGTTGGGGGGAGAGAGAAGACAACGGCGGTGGTAGTGGTGGGAATACATGGGAGAGAGAAAGAGAGAGAGAGAGAGAGAGAGAGAGAGAGAGAGAGAGAGAGAAGACGGGAGGGGAGAGAGCCGTAGATGCAAGTTGCAGTGGCGGTGGTGGGAATACAAGGGGCGAAGAGAGAGAGCAAGAGTGAGAGCGAGAGAGAAAGAGAGAGAGAGAGAGAGAGAGCAAGAGCGAGACAAGACATGGGGAGAGAAAGTCGTCGTTGCAAGTTGTAGCGGCGGTGGAGGGAATATAGGAGGCAAAGAGAGAGAGAGAGAGAGAGAGAGAAGGCAGGGGAGAGAGAGAACCGCCGTTGCAACTTGTAACGGCGATGGCAGGAAGACAGGGCGGAGAGAGAGAGAGGTTGAATGTTTTGGTTTTCTAATTTTGGGGTATCAAGGGTAATTCGGGTCATTTATGAAAAATTGTAAAGATATTTTGGACATTGGGCTGGCTCTAAAACACATCTGAATGCATTAAGAGCAACCCAAGGTCTGTGATTTTCAGATCTGAAAATTAGTTTCAGACCCAATTTAAGTGGTACAACCAAGCAAGGGGTGAGGTCTGAAAAGTAGCATTTCCAGATTCAGACCTCTAAAAAGTGCAATCAAACGTCACCATAGTCAACAACATTGTGACCTAGCTAATTGAACCACTGAACCAATTAATCTGATAGAGGGGTCACCAGTTTGGCATTAATTATATTTTTCTTATTTTTTGTATTTCATTTCCAACAACAACAAAAATAGTTTTTGTTTACCACATTTATTATTTTAGTGTGATGAATGTAAAATATTAGAAATGTGGCCATATTTTTCTATAAAATTTCTATATTTTTTATAACCTTTTGTGTTTCTATCTATTTTTAAACTTATTTATTATTTAAATGTGACCTAGATGATTGAACTTCCACCACATGGATGGGAAAAATCTTTTACTTTTGGGTTGATTTTAAATTTTATGTTTCATGTCTATCATTACTAAAACATATTTTATTTTTCATACTTATTTTTCTTTAATATGATAAATATATAATATTAGGGATGTGCTCAATTTTTTATACAAAAGCTATGTACTTTTTATTTTTTTGTGTTTTTATATTTTTAAATATTTATTATTTAATTATGATGTCATGGTTTGACCGATTTGATCCAAAAGGTTGGACATTCACTTGGCACCTAGATAGGAAAATGGTTTCATTTTAAATATTGTATTCATTTGCATCATTAATAAAGATAACTCATGTTTATCACGCTTTTTTTTTTGTTTAATATGACTAATATATAATATCAAAGATGTGCCTAATTAAGTCTTCTATTTTTTTGTATTTTTCAATAATTCTTTGTATGTTTTCTATTTTTAAAAAT